GATAGACATGTTCTCCACTCATGACCATAACTGCCCAGTGTTCTTACCTCCAGACCATAAGGACTGTCTCTGCATTGAAGCACAACTCTTAAACTCTACCATCGCAGTATTGTAAATGACCACATGGGCTTCGCCCTTGCCGCTAGCGGCTTATTTTTATCACGAATGACCTCATTGCTGACAAAAATAAATGACCTCAGAACTTCAACTTACGAATAAAGCTTGTTTTAGTCGTTATTGAGAAGTTAAACTTCTCTTCAAAGCAAGGTTGACATGACTTACATAAGTCAAATCCAATCTCTTGACCATCATGAAGTGCTTTGTAAAGTTTCATTAAACTGAACTCAGAGTCTTTGTCATATGTTCCTTGCGGAACCATTAAACCTTTATCTTCATCATAGAAACACTGAACAGAGTCAGGAAACATTTCATTAGCGGTTAAAGCAATAACATCTTGCTTCACGCCTTTCATTCTGCAGTGAAATGCAACTTCATTTAAATCATTCGTGAGTAAGTCTATGTAAGTCTTCTTTCCACAAAATATTGACTTGTATGCTAAACTTTGTTTTCCAGGTGTGATTTCTGCAAAGTCGCTATGAAATTGACCAAGGTTTTTACCATGAGAACTCTTCCATAACGTTTCTCAAACTCTTCAGCTAAACGAGGGATATCTTCATTGTAGAGATGCATACTGTCCGTATCGCTATAAAAGATGTCCATTCCTAAGTCCTCAGCAGTACAGAATACTTCACACATTATTCTCTTCGACATTGACAGAATGTTAACACCAAGTGGACAGAAGTTAAAGTGTCTGCAAATGCTTTTCGTTAGCTTGAAAATAGTTTTATCTGAACCATCCAAACCTTCGAACTTCACTATATGGTTGTAGTTTCTGATGGCATATCTTATAGCATCTTTGTCATTTACTATGGTTATTTTTGACTCAATAGGAGATAGAATAGTTTTGCCATAAATACTGTTCAGAATGAGCTTTATATTTTCTTGCAAAGGATTTCCTTCTTTCTTATACTTTAACCTTAACTCAAACAACTTCTTTACTTCATCTCTTATTCTAATATCTCTGTTTCCATCGTAATAGTATCCTTGCAACACTTCACATTTGACACCTTGATATTTTATGAGGTCTTGTAATGTTATATGGTCAACATACATTAAACAGCAAGTGTTTGAACTTCTGGGAACGTTAAGTTCTGGATTTAGTTCAGGGTCACAAACTATTAAAGGAAAGTGTCTATGTATTTCAATCTCTGTTATCTTAATGAGAACAAAGAAGCCAGACATAAACTTTTCACCAATGGGTTCCTTTTGGTCGTCATCGAATAAATGTCTCATGAGATACTCTGTGCTTAACATTTCTTTCTTCATAACCTTTGGAATACCTTCTAAAGTATAAAGTCTTGCTATAGAAACAGCAATGAGTTTCTTTTCGCTCTTTTGTTTCATGTTATCTGACAGCATACATCTTCCACCTTGAATACAGCGTCGAAATCAGCAATGAGTTTCTTTTCGCTCTTTTGTTTCATGTTATCTGACAGCATACATCTTCCACCTTGAATACAGCGTGAAATAAATTCTCTTGGTTTATTTGAGAGGTCATATAAATTTCCATTCGGGAAGTACACTCTGTTCTCAAATAATTTGTTAGCAATTGAACAAATACTAACGTAGTCATATACGTTTAAATCAAATTCTTTCAATATGTCATTGCGGAACTTAACAAAACCTTCTCTTAAAATTCTTACATCTTGTTTGCAATAAAATGTGCTATACTTTTCTAAGTCGAAGTGGTTCTCATCTATTCTGCAACCTTTGATGGAATCTATGTTTTTCATGAATGTATCTGCATCCCGGATAAACTTACATGCTTCAGAAATGACACCAGTTCTGTTGTCATTTGCTAACAAAACACTGCTGTAGTAGTTATATGGAAATACTTCTTTCGGTCCTGTTTGTAAGTTAAACATAGCAGGAAATAGTTTAAGCTTCTTATTTATAACACTGTAAGAGTCTTTTATAATAATTGCCCTTCCTTTATATAAGCCAGTTATTTGCATTGTTCGTGAACCTTTAATGATGGGAGTTCCTTTCACTTCTGTCATGTGTCTTAAGATGAAGTTTATATCATAACTGAGGTTATGGAAATATATTAAACTCTTGTCAGGAAGTCGCTCCAAAAATTCTGTTGCACAGTTCTGACCCCAAATGCTTTCACTCACTGAACCATCTTCACTGTCGTAACATATGTTAAAAGCTTTATGAAAGCCATCGGTACTGCACTCAAAGTCAGCAAAGAAAACGTGCTCAGGAATGAACTTGCACTTATTTTTATTTACTTCTTTTGACTCGGCTTTCTTCTTCAGTTGTACACAATACTTTGGAGCATATGTCAAATCTTTAAATGGTGCAAGGTTCTGTTTATATAAGTCAGTCGTATATGTGAAAAGTTCTCCATAAGAAATAGGTTCGAAATATTTGCACTCCCACAATGTTTTCATAACATCCCATAACGGTGTTGTTCTATCATAACGAACTACATATTTGTTCTCTCTCTTTGTATAAATCTTCATCTGTTTCTCAATGTTCATTCCACCACAAGCTTTGAGAATTTCTATATAGTTGCGAATGAAATATGTTGTCATTTGTAATCTTTCATTTAGCATGTAGTGGTCTTCAACAAGAAGTAAGTCAATAGTTCGAACAGTTTCACATTCTTTTGGTATGTATCTCGTTATTTCATTATATCTGAGTCATTGAAGTAACCAATGGTAACATTAAATGCTATACCTGTTGCGTCAGAAATTTCTTGTACTTTACTTTGAGGAAAGTCTCTAACACGAATGACTTCTCTCATGTGGTCAATAGTTCTCTATCTACTACTGAATAGAAACAGTATTCTGTGTCATAAGTGTTGCAGTTCTTTTGTTCAGTTCATTGAAGATTTGGTAGCGCTCAAGATTTATAGGTAATGTGCAAAGATACTTCCAGAACTGACCGCTTCTCTTCTTATAAAACTTCTTTCACCATTATCTTTCCAAAAGCTTTCTATAAGTGCTGGGTTTTCCTGTTTGCTTAAGAGCTTCCAAAATGGCTTTCTGGTCATTTGTCAGTGTGCTTTCATCTCTATATGTCGTCTCTTTTTTTGTTTGCCTTTCTTTACATCTGACATCGTTAAGCCTTCATATTCTGTTAAATCATACATCTTTATTTCAGTAAGATTCTTTATGTTTGTCAAGAAGAAGTCATAGTGCATTTCAACAATACCTGCAGCATTTGCTCTATCTCTGATATAAAGTTCTCCTTCAAGAGCTGATGTAGTAATGTTCCAATATTATTGAGGTTTAACGTAGAACATTCATACTTTCCACCAAGTTATAACATACCATCCATCTTTGTTGGGAGTTTATTTTAATCTTCTCTAAGAGTCTCATGAAAACCTTACCGAAATGTTTGTGTAAGTAGTCTCTGTTTGGTTCATCTAAAGCTTCGATGTTAAAGTCAATGAGTCTATTGCCTGACTTCACATTTCTCTTCCTATTCTCTTCATCTTTCTTTAACCATCTCTCACCTTCTTTTGGTTTGTCGTCAATGGAACGAATGACATCGTTAGCTTTGCGAACTTGTTTCTATAGCGCTCTAAACATCTCTCTTCTTGTTGTTTCAGTGTGTCGTCTCTTCTTCTTGTTTTCACCAACGTTTGCATTTGTTATGTCAAACATTTCTCTTCTTACTTCATGAGGTACTGAACGTCTATGATATAAGTCAATAGCAACGTCATTTAAAGGAAATGCTCTTGCATGGACTTCGTCCTCGCCGCGTTGCGGCTTTATGAACTCATGAATTCTATCATAACTTATTTGCACCATTATAGTCTTTAATGAGTCAGCGAGTGCTTTTTTGTTTGTTGCGTAATGTTTTGCTACTTCTATGTTAGCTTCTGTAAGAAGTTTTTTATTTCCGAGTGTTCTAACTTAGACAACTTCCGATACATCTTTAGTAGGAAATAAAAAAATTATTTTTTGAAAAAAATTAGATTAGATTTTTTTAAAGTTATTTTTCAAAATATATTTAATATTTTTATTTTTTTAATGAAACACATGCAAGATTGCAAGTTCTTTTCATACAATGCTCTCGCTACTGCCATCAAGAATGAGTTCAATAATGCTTCAAATGTTAATGTTATCTTTAACAAGAAGTTTGTGAAAGAATCTAAGTTTGGTCAGTATGTCAGACCATTAGCTATCGTCATTGACCGCAAACGTTATACTTCACAAGAAGAGTTAGCAGTAGTTTGAAACAAAAGAGTTTCTTCGTGAATGTCAAAGATACTCATTATACTGTCATAAAGAACTCTAACATTGACTTCTTCAGTATTGCTTTAAATCTTTCCGAACAGAAAGAATATAAGAAGGGTGAAACAAATGTGAAATATTATCCTTCATCTCTGAAGACAATAACGAACAAAGATGTTATACAGAAATTCTTACCAAAGGTTGAAGAAGCTTCTATTGACATTGACGAAGGAAGTGAAATGGTTGAAGAAATAGACCCTGAAGCTATTTAAGCAAAAATATATTTTTGGTTAGTCTTCATATCGATATTTTACAACAATTCCCCAATGTATAAACTTTTCATACGCTTTTTCATAAGCTTTATATACCTTCAGAAATTTTGCATAATCTTTAGAAGCATTTAGATATTGTTTAAATGCTTTGTATGTCTTCAGAAATTTTGCATAATCTTTTACATGTTGTTCGTTCTCTTCTTCTGTCATGAGTTCCGAATATTCTAAATTCATGTTCTTTCATATGAGATAAAATTTTATAAAAAAAATAAAATTAGCTTAGATTTTTTTATTCTTCCTCTTTGAAGTTATCGAAATATTCTGTTATTTTTTCCTTCAGTAATGTTAAGTCTTCTTTGAATGTAAGTATTGTGCAACCTTTGATGTCATAGTGTGTTTGAGGAAGAGTATTTTTGACAATTTCCTTTATTTGCTCATTCGGTGTCATTGAAATCGGTAAGTTTTCACGATAGAACCAGTTTCTGTCAGATTTATATATTTTAGCTAAGTCATAAAAGCTCTTGTTGTTTCTTCTGACTAAATGCAACATAACCACATCTTTATCTTCTTCTTTCTCCAACTCTTCAGTATATATCATATACTTATAACTCTTTTCCTTTCCTTTTGGTACTGAACGCGGTATTCTTTTCTGTATGCTTTTGTCTTTGGATTCAATGACTTCATCTTTTGCTTGAAGTTTCTTTTCCATCTCTCCACGTTCTGCTTTATATAGTTCATCTAACATCATGAAAATATAACAAGCATAACGAGGTGAAGCCCACATTGCTACAGCGTTTACTAAAAGTCTATGAACATAATAACCTTTCAAACCAGGAGCCAAATTCTTGCGATTTTCGTACGGAATCTCTTCTCTCGGTTTTCCGAGGGAAGCAATCATATGAGGAAATTCTTCTAAAAGTTCTTTTGTCTGTTGGTTTTCAAACCAATGATATGCTTGCTTTGTAGAACGAAGAGCATTCATTATACTTTGCATTTGGTACATGTCATCTTTGACTGAACGAATGAGACGTAACTGTTTGTTATACTGTATGTATTCGTATTCTTCATTTATAGCTTCATGGACTATAACTGTTGTTGTGTTCTCTGATGTTGTCATTACTGTCTTTACATACAAAATAAATAAAAATAAAACTAACTTTATTTTCTGACTTTCACAAAAGACCAAAAATAAACGCTTTACATGTATTTTTCAGCAACTTCGTCAAATAATTTTATAGCTTTATCTATCTCATCTACTTCAAACGTTTCTTTACCTTTCGTGGGAGCACCATACATTTTCTCAAAAACTTCAAGCAGTTCTGTTTCAGCAGCTCTCATATCATTAACAAACACAACCTTGACTCTATTGACTGTACTGTCATATCTTTGAGTTATATTATATGTCCTTCCTATCTTATATCTTTTTGTGTTGAAGTCCTTCGGTTTCTGAACGATGTAAAGTAAGCCTTCACTGCAACGTTCCGTATCGAATGAACCATATGTTATGAAGTTATATCCAACAACTGGGTCTAACCATAACAAAACTATTGGTATAAGACTTTTGTCTATAAGATATGCTCTTGTTCCATGAAATGCTACTGATATCATAAGCTCAGGATTTCTTGTCAAAATTTTCTGAGTTGAAGCATTTCTAACCCAGTCGTTTGTTTTCTTTCCAGATGGAGATATAATGTCTGACAAAGAATATTTGTTGTATTTCTTTGAGTATCTTACGTTTAAATCACCTATTCTAACCACTTTGGTGTCATTGTCTATCTTTCTAACTGTTTCAAACTCAATGTTTGTCATTACTGTCTTTACATACAAAATAACTAATGAAATTCATTATTTTTGTGCTGAATTCAATAAAAATAATGTTGAGGTGAAGAGGTGAGATCTCACCTGTTTTTTTCACCTCTTTTTTCACAAGCGTTTTACATGAAATTATACGATGTATATTTGAAATCCTAAACAATTTCGTAGCTTCTATTTCTTCTTTTAGTACATCAAAGTTTTAACAATGCCGAAGGTTTTTTATATTTCTTCTTGACGTCAGACAGAAGGAAATCTTCTGCTGTTGGATAGTTTTTATTAAGAAATGTCAACATATCCATTTTATCTTCTGCTGGCTTTTCTGCTTCTTTCTTTAAGTCTGCATAGTCGTTTCGCATTCTTTCTATCTCTTTGACTGAGTAGTTATATTTTCTTATTGCTGCTTTACATTTTGAACATTGCGGCATCGTTTTTGCGTTATACATTGAAATAAAACCAGCTAGAACAACTAAGGCGTCAATGGTTTTCTTTAACTCAAAAGCTGCTGGTTTTATCTGTTCATTCATACTTTACCTCTTCTATCTTTATCTCTTATCTGCCATACACATTTGCAACTAATGAAAAAAGTTATCGTATGTCTTAAATTCTTCGATTTTAAGTCAGAAATATTTTTATAAACCATGTCGCAATCTTTGTCCATAACTTTATGGTTGCAATGAAAACCAAGAATTCATATTTACTTTACGTATGAACTTTTTATTTCTACTGAGTCAGTTGCTTTCTTCAATTTCTCGAATTCAGGAATAGTAGTTTTTTGTGTGAATTTCAGGAGTTTAGGAATGGTGTCATATCCTCCATTTCATAAAGATACTTTCATTTGTTTTTCATCTTTGCACTACAGTCTAAATTAACTTGTTAAAAGTTCCTGCTTTATCTTCTGGATTTCTGTTTCGAAAAGTATATGAAGAAGGAAAAGCTTTTCATTCTACTAACTTGAGTGGGTTCATGACTACGCGAGTTTGGTGCTGTAAGTTGTGGACAAAGTCATCCCGCCGTTTGGCTTGAAGATATGTTGTACTTGTAGCCGATTTGTTGAAATATATCTTTTATTAGCAAATATAAAAAAAATAAATTAATTTTAAAACACACTTGATGTTTTCTATCTTTAGGAAATTCATCTGAAAATTCGTGAGGTGAGAATACAGGCTGAGAAAACGGGTGAGATCTACCCTTTCAACTAAAATATATTTTTTGGTGGTAAAATTTATGACAAAATAATATGGTAACCAATTTATATGATATCAAATGACGTTCTCATTCATGTCTGATTTACATTCTAATGAAAAAAAGTTTAGATGAATTTCTTATTCTTTCTGGCATATTTTTGTCTTTCCAGTACTCCGCGCTCTAATGGTCCCAGATGTGTTGACTTTGACCTCTCAAGTTCTGTAGATGTGTATAGAATCTTCACGCGCCTCCTTCCATCTTTACTTTTAAGTGTCATCGTTTATGTGTTAGCCAAGTATTTCAATCCACTCCGTCGCTTTGCTTCGTCAATGGTGTTTCAGCAAGTTTGCCATTTACTACTTTCGACTAATTTTGTGACGAGGGTAAACGACAATAAGAAGTCGTCATACAGCTTTTATAAGATATCTTACTTGCGTAGAGTCTACGATATAATAGTTTCTACTTAACCTTAAAACGTTTTCTTTGTCAACGGTTTGTCGTCAGAGACTACACGAACTTTTGTACCAGGAATGACGGGTAAATTGTGTGTGAATTTCTGATATTTTGGGTGTTTGACTTCGTTCTTTTGTTATATATAGGGTGTCCAAAGGTGCGTTTAGCACAGCGCTCTTATGAGAATATTAAAGGAGATATTGCTGATTTATAATATATATAAAAAATATGAATATATGTATATGATGAGTATGTTGTATTTTGGCGCCATGCCGGATATAAATAAATTTTGAGAACAAGAGGTGGTTTCTCGCGGGAATTTTGGCGGGATTTTTTTCATTTTTTTAATGAAATCATAAAGAAACATCCTCGCTCTTGCAAAAAAAATGCAAAGACTTGTTAAAAAAGTCTACGAGACCGTCATTTGGTAAAACATGCTTTCGCCTTGGGTATGGCAATTCGCTTCTAGCTATTCCACTGTAACAGTATGATGTCTAGAGTGTATCACTCGCTCATGAACTAAAGGCGCCCATCCATAAGATTGAGCGAGATATCGCCGGATCAAAGGAAAAATCAACAGCAATTTCTCAAGGCTAGATGAAGACCCAAGAGCATCACTCAGAAT